GGGTTGTATTGTACGACCCTTAGTTGAAGAGGGAACGGCGGCGTCACTGAGCTGCTTCATGTCTTGCCTTGAAATATCACTGTATTACTACGAAACCGAAGCGTCAGAATGGGTGTACATGCTCACCTCCTATTCATAATCTGCCCCCTCTCAGAATATGCCAGGAACCAATTCAAAACTAAATTTCGCTAATAGCGCAGACAAGGAGACATGATGTCGCATAGTGCCTCCCCGTCTCCAACTGTGAACTTGGTTTATAATGCAACTGGTAAATTCGCTTGCTTTGTAAACGAAAATTTTCTGTGCAGGATTGGATGTTATAGCGTGAACTAGCAGAACAACCCATATAGTCTGCACACCCCGGGCTGGGGAAGACAAGGCGTAGTCGAGCGGTCGCATCTATAGCATTGGAACTTTGAAGAGCCCCCTCAACTTGCTCATTTTGTACTATCAGCGCTTTGCGCTTCGTGAAGGGCCAGACTGCAACATTGCGTCCACGCTACGGTAGCCTGCAAGTTTTCAATAATTGGAAGCTCTGAGTTAGGTGGCCCCTCATCATTTGTGAAAAATCGCAATGTACGGAAGTGTTCACCCGCATCGAACTTCACTTGTTTCTCTCGGAATCCTGGGCTACTATACAATCCCAGAGCACAGCACTCGTTGTGCAACTCACAAACGTGTTTTTATTGGGCACTGCGGAGGGACGAGGGGTGAGGGGTCGTCTTTTACCATGGGAAAAATTTCCCGATTCTCGTTCGAGCGTGCTATATACCTCCTTTCCTCGTTGGTAACGCATCAAAACCACTATTGACAGTAATCGGAAGTAACCTACTGTCCAAACAGCATCAGCCCCTGTACAGATCATTAGGGCTAACGCAAAACTGCAGAGTGGTCTCTCCTAAGCCACATAACGCCCTTCAACTTTAGCGTAACCTGAAGATGGAATCAAAAGTGCATCTCTAAGCAGCCGCTTAGTTTGGTGGCACAACCAGTCGCCCACAAATGTATGCAACCGCTTGTCAACGTTCTGGCTACCCTAAATGTTCAAGGTAGGGCCTACTTTGTAGTGTTTCAAAGTTTGTGGTTTTTACGAATCATAGGTTTGGTGATCAAGGCTTTATTTTGTTTTCGTGTGAAAGTGCTAGTCGTAAATAGCGATCCTTTTAGAACCTTCATTCTTTGTAGGCCGTAAGGAACGTATTGGATCGACATAAAATGCTTGATAAATGTGCCAATAAATATATGGCTAAGGCAACACTTACTTTCTATTTTTGTCCTAGCATCATTAAATTTTGGAAGAAGGAAGGCCGCTATCCACCCTTCCTTGAATAAACTGGCTTTGCGGCTAGTAATTGGAAAACTCTTTTAATTTATGGCGAATCGCCTGTGTTCGCTTTGAACTGTGGTTTGTTCACCTTGAGAAACTAACAGTCCACGCCATGTGGCGAGCTAATGGTCCCGCCTGCAGTAGCGTGCTACTTCTCGCTCAATGGTAGCCGGAACAGGCCTGGAGCGGTTTGTGATAGGCAGAATGCCTTTCGAGACGTCCGTCCGCGCTCTAACACGGCGTTGACGACATCTGAGCCACCGGTGGCTCATGAGTGAGTGGCCACGTGGGACAACTTGAGCCACCGGTGGCTCATGACTTTCTCCATCACTTTTTGGGTTATTGCCGGCAGTCTCAATCGATCTTTTTCTTGCTTTCGAGTAAGCTGTGGAAGGTGAGTTTCCAACAAGGATGAGCAAGAAAAATGTTGCTGCCCCCATGAGATATTTTGAATTAAAAATTGAAATTTTTCAACTAGCTACTGCTGCGGCAGAAACCTCCAAAATAGTTCTTTTTGGACGAAACCTTGGCTGCAGGGACTGCGCGGGTCTTGATCATCGAACGTGGAGGTCCACTTGTCATTGGCGCCATATGGCGCCAGTAGGCGCCACTTTGGCGCTAGCAGTCTCTTTGACACCGAATTTGATAGAAACCTCTACACCTGGGTTATTTGACATCCTTGTCACGAATATATTGTTACCTTCCGGAGTCGGCAACTTGGCGCCAGCGGGCGCCACTTTGGCGCCAGCGATCCTTCTGACACCGATTCCAATGGATACCTCTACACCTAGGTTATTTGACATCCTTGTCATGAATGTATTGTGGAGGTTTCTATCAAATTCCTTCCAAGGTTGACGACACCTGGCGCCAGTGCGGCGGGCGCCAGGTGGCGTCAACTTTGGAAGGAATTTGATAGAAACCTCTACACCCAGGTGATTTGACATCCCACATGAACGGCATCCGCAAGGAGTTCCTATATGGTTGTTCTTGGTAGTTATTGATCCACAGCACGCAGTTTCTCCCCAGTGAAGCAGTCTGGCTTCTTCTGGTCTACGAGCGAGACTGAGACTCTGTACTTCCAGATCAAGGCATTTTCGCAGGTGTAGGTGGAGCTTGTGCGAAGTGGCAGGGGCCTCTCATAGTGGGCGGAGCCGTTTGGTGATCTTGAGATGGTGAACAAGTGATAAAATATGGATAGTGGGAAGAAAATATGGATAAATAGTGATAATAAAATATTGCTAGAAATCGCGAAAATCGATCTAAAGTGGGGGGAGCTAAGTGTGCGGATCCTTCATGCATCTTCGTGCAATTGCTTGTCTGTGAGCAATGTGTGAAGAGTGGGTTTGAAGGCGTCAACGTTGAGATAAGGTATGAAAATTGAATATAAAACAAACCTGTTAAAAGTGGGCTTATGGGTCGGTGTGGCCATCAATGAATCATTGTAAATGTAAGGAATAAGCACGAAAAATTCACAGAAAATTCGCAGAAACGGAAGTTTATGGTTACACACATTTTGGAAAATCACACGATCGGCGTTAAAAAAAGGCTTGATGCGCAGTGCGGGCATGAGATGGCATCATAGGCGTCAATTCATTGGTTGAAATAGCAGTCCCTGCACAACTGACTTATCATTTTGCGAAAATTTGACATAGCGGCAAAAAGTGGTCCACGAGGGACAACCTGAGCCACCGGTGGCTCAGGGCGGACGCATGCGAAAGCACGCCATTGTCCCACGTGGCGCTTTCCCGCAAAACGCGATTGTCGTGCAAGTTTTAAGGGGGTGTAGTGCTTCCTTAGCCAGATTATGGCGACCCTTGCGTACTTTTGTGCATGGTCTGTGCAAAACGGAAGTAATAAACAGTTAGGACAGCGACTTGCCAGAGCATGAAGTTAGGACAGATCGTTGTTGGGAATCCCCAACAGGGGGGGATTCATTATTTACGCCCGCCGGCGAGAAGGGGTCCCGTTCGAGCTGCGAAATATTGTGATAGTTGATTTTTCTCGCTTCACGGACCTTCGTAAAGGGGGGGGGTCGTATTGCTCATCGTTCAGGAGGGGTCGTATTTAGTTTCTGGCCTTTCTAGGACAGGAAAAGTTTTGGGAAAAAGTAGGGAAGTTTTTCGGGAAGTTTTGGAAAAAGTGGCAGGAATTTGGGAAAATCTGAGAACTGGTAGAAGAGGGGGTCGTAGTGTCTCGCGGTTTTTCCTGTTTTCACACGGCTGCTATTTTAAATCTCCCCCCTTCCTCGACGGCTACATTCGATTGAGGAGGGGGTCGTACCGAACCAAAAAAAGGTGGGGTCGTACGGACTCGACCAAAATCCCCAACCAATGATGTGTCCAGATCGAAATGTGCAAGAAACATGTGGCGAGCCAGTATGTGGGCTTTTCATGAGAATGGACCGGACTTGAATGAGCCCCATTACTTTTTGTGAAAAGCGCGAAATGTGGTAGGCCACAATGAGCACAAAATGTCATGAGGACGAGAGGGAGAGAGAGAGAGAGCACGGAAAAACAAAAGTGCGACGCACTCAAAGGGATTCAAAATAAAAAAAAATCGTCCATTAACCGAACCATAATACTGCACTAACATGCCGTCCACGGTAAAACAACTACAGGTGAGAGGGTGCAGACAAGTAGCGTGCTCCCCTATGGTTAGGCGCGCGGTTGCCCGCAGTGCACGAGCGGAATTTCCAGACGAGTAGCCGCTCTGTAGGCTAATGCCGTTTGGACTCCAGAAATTTCGGCACCGAGCCCATTTTTAAATTGCCTAAGTCACCAAATCCGCTAAAAACTTGTATATAGGGGTAGTTTAACATCCTGATTACGAATATGACATTCACTCTTGTCGCTGGCGCCAAGAGAGGACACTACGATTACCTCCTGGGCTCAGCGCAGATAATCGTAGTGTCATCCATTAGCGCCAGCGACAAGAGTGAATGTCATATTCGTAATCAGGATGTTAAACTACCTCTATATACAAGTTTTCAGCGGATTGGTGACTTAGGCAATTTAAAAATGAGCTCGGTGCCGAAATTTCTGAAGTCCAAACAGCATTAGCCCCCTGCTATTAGCTGTCTTCAGCCCAAATCGCATGCACTTCTGGCCAGAAAACGTGGTACGCTACAGCAGCTGCGACCTAATCGCTTCGCATATGGCAAGGACCATCCCCGTAAGTGGGTGTAGAGTTTACCTTTGATGTCAGTCTCTCAGACCACTGTAAACGCTGATAAGTAAGCCTCTCTCTCCATGAAAGCCAGCTGAGGTCAATCTTTAATTAAATACATTAATTTATGAGACACTCTCACTCCCGTGTTGTAGGACATATTATCAGACATGAAAGGCATCACAAAATCATAATGAAGGTGGCATCAGAATTGCCCGCAACGTTGGCTCATCACATGCTTCTGCAGCTGTCTGCCCATCACTGTTACGCACCGTTCGATCGGCTCCTTTGGATATCAGAGTCTCAGCTGCGGCTTGACGATGGCAATACGCCGCTAAAAATATGTTTTTTGGTTCCAGAACGACGCCATTTCTGACAGATTTTTTTCTGGAAAGTCTATTCACTGATTTCACTCTACGCCATTGCGCACTTCCAGGACTTTTCGCACAGCTGAGGTGGCATTTGAGAGAACTATTGGGCACACGTACCTATGTCAATGAAAAAAATCAAAAAAGATCGCAGCGCTAGTTCAGCTTAGGTCCGCTGATGTTAACTATGCGTGTGAGGACATGCCATGGCGTCGTACGCTTCTCGCGACACATCTAGGCGAGGAAATCGCATTCTACGACATAGACCCATTCAATTTCTTCGTTTTGGTTATACAGCGGTATTTATTTAGTACAGGAGGGACCAAAACTTTCGCGCGAGCCCAAAAAGAAGCAGCCACACTGTGGGTGAGGAATTTTGGTGCTGCTCGATTTCGGCTAGGAAAGGGAGAGGGACTTTCGCACGTGCGCTAGTTCATGCTAGCCAACAGCTCTCTCGTTACTGGCACCTGCGAAGCTGCTTGTAAAGCTACAAAGTGGTACAAGTGAGCCACTTTAGCAACAGAATTTGCAGGCCTTCACAAGATGGCCTGTGCAACTTTGGCGGAGTGACACTTGGTGCCCCCACCTAGCCGAACTACACTGCCATTCCTTTATATGCAGGTTGTATATAGAGGTTCTCGTATGTCGCGGACAATGATTCACCCACCCTGGAGCCCCTCAGTCCTGTTGGGTGTGTGACAAGACAATCGTAATGTGCCGCGTTGGTAAGCGCGGTGAGTAAGACGTAGGGCCTCAGTGGATGAACTGTTCTGCCCGAACATTCGAAGCTGAGGTCAAAGGGACCAGAAAATTTGATATAGCACGGCACAAAGTTCCAATCCACCGATGCACACCGAGTTTTTGGGCTATTCGTCGCACGCGACGCGAGTCCTTGCTTTATTCGTCGAACGCGACGATGCGACAAATTATGATTGTCTTGTCCATCTTCCCCTCACCTTCATGACGTATATATGACTATGAGGGGGAGATGAGTATATCCTAACAGGTGACGTACTGGACTGCATATCTGAGTTGAACTACGGCCACATTCTTGAAGGAGTCAGAAAATAGGCGAAAATCTTCCAGGCCCTCTTACCTGCACCTCACCCTCAAAACTGATGCTTTTGTTATCCCAGAACCCACAGAAGACATCAAGGCACCATGATCAAATTCAATAAATTAAAAAAAACAAGCGAATTGATAATTATTTATTAAATGCTTACCAAAATGCAACGGAGTATTGCCTTCTGGGTCTACTGCATTGACGTCGACTCCTTTTGAGATCAAAAATTGTATCACTTTATCGCAACCGGAATCAATCGCCCAGTGCAAAGCAGTCATCTGAAAATCCTCATGTTCACTCATATAATTCGTATTAAACCTAATGACATACGCCTAAATGCTGATCGGTACTATTAAGTAGCTCCGGTCTTCGTTCGAAAATATCCTTCATCGTACTTTCGTCGTCAGCTTTCGCTGCTGTAAACCATAACAACGCTTCGCGATCACTGACAGACAACGAACCGGCATCTGATGACGACTCACTCTGCAATTAGTTTTTGTCAACAACCAAAAATTTAGATAATGAAACTGAATGATGCACAGTCGATGGTAGGAACAGAGTCGGGAAAGGAAGCACTTCTGTTCTCTTGATTTTCACCCCTCAAAGAGACTCCTTACAATGAACAAAAACCAGTCATTTGTTTCACGCCCTGTCTTCAAAGACATGGGCAATTTCAGAATGAATTTGGCCCTTTTTCTCCTGAAGGTAGAATATGTTGTTGTCATTTGGCGGTAATGGGGGTTCAAATATGAATAGCAAGCGAAGAAGAACGCAGCGAAGAAGAAAGCAGAAATAAACTGTTGGAAAACACCCTAAATACAGCTATTGGTTCCTAGAATCACAGGAATTTGCGGCAAAGAGATCTTGTGTCGATAAGAGAAACAGTCTCTATGGAATGGAGAGAGAGAGAG